TTGAACTTAAAGAAACTCTGGGGTTGCGTTACTAAAGGCAAATAGGCTGTTCACTTTGCATGGTAACTTGCACTTCACAAGGGTTTTTCCTTTAGTTTAGTGAATGTGGTGAAATTTCCCTTTGAAAAGAATATCCAATCATGAGCAAGGAAGTTACAAAAACACAATACTTTTGCTCGCACATGATTGGATGATAGAAGTCAGAAGAGCTTTACCTTATTCACGAAGCTAAAGTGTAAATTCCCTTAGAAAGTGTAAATTCCCATGCAAAGTGAGCAGCCTATCTGCCTTTAGTAAGTCAACCCCTATGTCACTTTGCCCATTCAGGGCAGAATGACAAGTTCTCTTGTAAAAAGAACCTCCCATTCACTCATAATAGCCTTCCCCCGCACATCTGAACCCTTTCTGTTGCTCTGTAGGAGAGATGAGCCAAGCCCTGTGTAAACTCCATACCAGGCTAACTTGTTACACCTCCTAATCACAGGACAGTATTGGGTCTGGCGATTGTATGCTGAGGCCAGAACACTTCATCCTGTGAGGAAGTTATATGCTCATCTATACTTGGGAAGACTAGGCATTTACCAAGGGCTCTGATGGAAGAAGGGATCAGGAGGGGATAGCGGTGAGTATCAATGGGTGGGGTGTTCTTCTTAAAATACAGCCTGTCACTTTTCCCTGAAATGGAAGAGTGACAAAATCTCTTGAAAGTGAATTTTACACGCAGTTTAAATTTTGATTAGTCACAAGATCGCTCCACTAACCTCTATTAACCAGAAAAGTCTCCTCTGTGGCCTTATCTGATTTTGTTTAAGATTGGCTTGCTTGGCTTCTTGACTTTCCTTGACCTGGATTTCCTCATTCAATGACATTGCGCTTACACTCAATGTTCTGGCCACTTTGGTAGTCTCAATACATAGTGAAATGGCATTTGCCAGGGTATACCAAAAGCAAGCAAGTCAGGCACCAGTAGCAAGTGAAATTAAATCAGAGGGGGACCACAGAAGAGGCTCAACTGACTGCTAAAGGTAATAGCAGGCATCTTCTAGTGTCTGCCTAGAATCAAACACCACGTGGTGAGATTAGGTACAAGTTTAATATGAAAAATATTTTTAACATTTATAATCTTCTTTCAAGCAAAGACTGGCAATCTTGCAACTGTAGCATTGACTAGAAAGGCTGTTGTGAGTATTTGCGAGAACACATGAGATTCTGAAGACTTGCATTCGAACAGTAATATCCTTAAAAATATCCATTGTAGCCATGATACCATTATGGACTTTACATTTTAGAACTGTAACTGGGCTTTAAAAGAACACATAGAGAAATGCAGACTAAGGTGCATTACATGTCGGAGTTGTTTCTGTAGCCTCAAGCCAGATCTATCTTTCTTTATTAGTTTTTACATGCTTCTGAAAAATCGATAGTATGTAACAGGAAATGTTAAGAGCTTCTGTCTTTCCATAAAAAGTTAGACACAGCTCTCTTCAATTATCTGCAGGTGGAATTTCGGATAGCCATGGTGTTCATAAAGTGACAATAGGCAAGTTAACATTTTCTTTTGGATGCAATGGATACTTCAAGAGCTTGTACATGCTACATGAAACAAAGTAAGTGATGGATACGATTTTATAACAATATTATATATGTGTGCCAAAGTTCATTGCTTTCTCCCCAGCCAATCAGACACTGGCATATCTGGTCTTTGTCTATTCTTCATGCCTCATTAATTTACACTAATGTTATTTGGTCAATCAATCAATCAATCAAGACTCAACCCAGCGCAGGAGTTGTCAAAAAGTAAGATTTATATAATATACATTTAGGTAAATACATGTCTGAACCACTACTCTTGCTTAAATACATGGCTCTGTGCCCAACACTACACCCATTCAAAACATTACCTAAGTCTATCCCTGAATAAACACTCCTTGAAGATTAGACTGCATTCATGGGTCTTGTTAAAAGACAGTTTACTTTTACAGGTCAAAGCATTTCAATCATCCTGAGAAAGTGCAAACAGATGACCGGGAGACATTCACAATAAAGTATTTTTTGCTGGGAGACACACAAAGTGCTTGGTCTTGCCCAAGAGCTTTTGTAGCCAGCTTGAGACATTGTACTGAATTCTACTGTTTACTGCACTGTCTAAGTTAAAGATCTATTTTACAGATAACAAAGTGTATTTTTATTGCGTTCTACACATTCACATTAACAAACTTTGCTGGAAAAATCCCAGCAAACATAAATACACTAATAATGTTAAGAAAATGCATACTAACAATAGCGTATTTCGCTTTTTTTAATAAGAATAGTTTTGTTTTTCTAGATCCACTCCGTGTCTGCTGGCAGCACTGTACATTATTATTCTTTCTAAGAAATAAATCTGTAGGATTTAGCAGCATAAATGACTCTGAATGATTGCAGCATTTATTGTAGCTGTTTGTTGTTGGATAAGCTGCTGCATGATGCAAAAGGAGATTCCCAAGAACATGCTTCTGATTTTTACTGTGGGAATGGTAGAGAAGATCATTTGGTCTGATTAAATTGGACAACTATGTATGTTTCAGAGGAAGTAAAGTGAGCTGTGGTGTGTAAATATCAGTCATTTCCATGAGCCTTTTCCAACTCAGCCAGCTGAGCACTTATGAGGTCTATCATGTGCCAGCTCAATCTAAAAGGTCAATTCATAAAAGAATAACATTGGCAGAGCGTCTAATGCAATTTGCTGATTTATACAATAAGAAATTATCATCTGACTTAACAGCATTATATTTTCAATGTTTGCGGCATTTTGTATGTAAAAGTTGGTTCAAATTACCACGTTAATTTTGACTTTTTACATTATCAGTAGATCTTGTGACTTTAATTGTCTTTGAGGGCTCTATTGAGGAGAGCAGAAAAGAGCTGAAGATACAGATATAACAATTCAACACCTGTCCAATATTTATCTACTGTATGTGAACTGAATATTCAATTATTATGAGATCAAATAATAACCATAGCTAAAATAATTTATACATCTCATACGATTAAAATAACTCAAAAAGGACAGTGGATTGACCCTTAAAGCATACCTTTGGTTTGCACATGCTTTAACCATCCATTCCCTGCAGCACATACATACCTTTCCTTCCCATTGACAAATCACACTGGTGTGAATGGGGGCATCTTGCAGTGTGGCCCCCTTTCTCTGCAAGGGTTAAATGCTCATTTTGTCTTGGGGGTAATGAATAAGGTAAAACATATTTACCTTATTTCTTGCTCCCCCCTTGAGGTCCTTGAGGTCCTCACATATAGTGTAGAACTGCTAGTCCTGCATTGTATGTGATGATGTCAGACAGCTGAAACCAATCGATCGGTGAAGAGTAGCAGTTGTGGGGGACTGACCGTATGGCAAGGAGGAAGTCCACCTGATTGAGGAATAAAGTGGATATTTCACCTCATTCATTACCCCCCGAGGCAAAACCAGCTATTTAAAGAGAACAATAGTCAAACCTTTTTTGTTCTCTTTTGAGTCACAAGAGCACATTTACTAATGTACTCCTATGACCCGAAATCAGCATATAGCGGGCAAACAGCCTGCTATATGACAGCACAGAGCCTTGCTGCAGCAAGGAAAGATCCCAACAATTTTGTCTGGATCTATCCCATTGACTGATTGATAGCTGTCTCTAGAGACAGAGTCAGCGGTGCTGGCCCCCTCCCCAGTCTGTCCCTCCAATGAGCACTGGAAGAATAGAGAAAGGGGAGGGGAAAATACCCATGGGATGCAGTGACTGACAGTCACCGCTCTCTGCAGGGGAAGCCGTAAGCTGAGCGATCAGTGGTATGTGATCGCACAATTCTCAAGCTATAGTGCTGGCATGTGACAGCTGCAGTGTCACATGCTGGCTCAATCTATTTGAAAGAGTACATTTTACTCTACCGTTACTTCTCCTTTTTCCCTTCCAGTGAGAAGGTGGGGGGCATTGCAAGGTGCATGTTTTTAAGCTGACTGGTGTTCAGTATTAAACCTGTGAAGATAGATAGATACATACAGTAGGAGCTGACATTTTTTTATTTGTTTTTAAAAGAAACATGTGCTAAGAGAAATTTGCAGGTTGCCATTGCTGAGCTCCTTCTAAAAAACACCTGTTACTTGGCTGTTTCTGTACTGTTTGGGCTACTGGCCTGGAATGAATAGGCAGCTAGTAAAGAAAGTGTAAACTGAGAACTCTAGAACTGCACACTTGATCATAGTCAATGGTAGCTAGTTAACTGGCATTTTAAATAAGAGGTTGGGGATAGAACCATTAAAAATTGCTCTCAGAATAATTTTATCTTCAAGTTGTCAGCTGTAGAGTTGTCATTTTGATCCAGACTTTACTACCTAGTGAGTCACCTAGGTGGTTCAAATATGCCAGAGAAGTGTTCAGTCTCTTTATGCTTGTCCAAGATCACTAACTCACTAGTCAAAAAGGGTGAGAGCTGTGGAGCCTGCACTTTAAAAAGAAATCAACACTGACAGATCCCGTATTTATAACTGCACAGATTAAACTGGAGGGAAAAAAAGGAATAGAAATACAAAAAATTTCACCACTCTTCATTGGATGTTGCTTAGTAGACGTCTCTTTCAAAGTGACAAAATAATACTTTGTTTTACATACTATATTACAACCATATAAAAGGGTATGTGTTCATCTGGAAAGCTCGTTCTGCACAAAAGTACAACTTTACTAAAATAACAAAAACCACTAGCTGTTTTGGAACATTGTCACCAAGGCTGGATTTCGATCACTGGAGCATGTAGGTACAAAAAATGTGGATCCTATAGGAATAGGCCTGGGCTAGAGTCACTTCTTTTACTCGTAACAAATACTTGTTTCACTGGTATTTCTAATAATGATGGGAAAATCTTTTTTCCTCTGCAGCGTATAGGAACAAGCCTACTGTGTCTAATAGCAAATCCAGCCATGGTTATCCCAATTGTTTTAAAAACACAATAGTAAAATATGACTTACCATCAAGGGTAGTTCCTTCCCCATTGAGGGCGGATCCAGCTCCTGACCTGTATAATGCATTTACAGATATGGAGTATGTTGTACCAGCATCCAACTCTTTCAAGACAGTACTGGTAATGTTTCCTCTGAGTGTAACCTCTTTGGGCTCCCCTCCGGTTGTTGGTGTGTAGGTTACAAGGTAGCGTAAGGCTTTGCCAGGTGCTTTATCCCAGGACAACTTCAAACTTGATGTCGTAGGATCAGAAACTCGGAGGTTTCTAGGTTCTCCTAGAACTGTGTCAATTCAAACATTAAAACACGTAAGAATGCATTTGGTGTACCGAGATTCATTTAATTTAAACATCATATTTTAAACTGTATACAGTTTATATTATACCTTAATGTTATTAAAATATATATATATACAGTATATCCAAAACATTTTTAGATAGAATGGAGAAAGGTTAGTGAGGGAAAAGCTGCAAAAGGGAAACAGACAGCAATAAACAGTTGACAGTGGTTCTAGCACCCCACTACTTATCATAGATAAACACATTTTTACTTCTGTTGTGTTGCTGTTAGAGAGATGTCCCCTCACTTCCTGTCTTGAGGAAATTATTTCTACACAGTTGCTATAGCGTTACAGCACTTTTCAGTTTAGTATATTGCATAAGAACACTGGGCATTGGTGGTTGTATTTTAATCACCTTTTCCAATGTAAGCAGTGATTTGTTACACAGCTTAAAAGCCCAACTTCAGCCTTGCTATAAAATCTTCATGCAGTGTGGAGTTTACTTACTTTTCCTATACAGCCTGTTATTTTTTTATACTTCCTCCACACTCAGAGTTTGTACATTTTGTTGCAGCCAATGCCTTCAGCCCCTTCCTATGTGGCTTGGGCATCATGAACATGATCTTTAAGCATGTATGGAGCAATGCATGGAGCATACAAGACTTTGTGGGGCTGATGGCACAGACCACCTTATGTAATGCAGCTGCTGACAGGCATGCATAGGGTGCCCTGCAAAATGTTCTAATCAGCAGCTGGAAAAAGGGTTGCTTATCAGACCCTGTGATGGTGCCACAGGGTATGATAAATGAAAAAAAAAAAAATAACCCTCAAATTCTGCATGATAATAAAATAAAATGGGATAGTGAGGTATGGGGATAGGTATTTAGAATGCATGGCTTTGAAGCCATGGAATGTTGTACTGGGCCATACAATGTGTTACAACTGATCAGTGTCATCAACTATTGTAGTATGTATGGTTAGCTTAGTCTGCCTGTATATTTAAACGTAATCAAATGTAACAAACACAGCAACTGCACTACTTAGTAGTGGGTTTTAAAAACCACTGACAGTGCCACTGGATTTAATCTGTGGATTACACGAGTGACCAACAAAACATCATAGAACAGTAATAACATACTTTCTTCTGTTGCTCCATTTCCTGTCAAGGCTTTTCCTGGCCCTGAATGATACTCAGGGGTGACTGATACATGGTACTTTGTGTCAGACAGTAGTTTCTGTAGTGTTGTCGCTCTTTCATTTCCAGGTACTGTTACTTCTTTTCTTTCTCCACCAGCAACTGGCCGATACCCAATTCTGTATCTCAAAACATTTCCAGGAGCTGGAGACCAGCCAACCTTAAAGCTGTCAATGGTCTCATCGCTTACAATAAGGTTTCTAGGTGCTCCTTTTACTGTAAGGAACAGAAAGAAATGATCACTAAACAATATATTTTATACTAATGAGAAACAGCATCAAAACATGAAAATGACGAGTTCATTCATGCAATGCTTACAATTTTAAATACAGATGATGAACGTGTTGTTTGTTGTGGTTTGTTGTGGTTTAAAACAAGGGTTTGCAGAACTCAGATGTAAAGCTGCATTTTTTAGCGCAAATGCTTTGCTTATTGTTTAATATGGGTTATTTAAGTTAATAGAGTTCCTCATTTTATTAGATCAATCATAACTTGATGCTGAGAATGTCAAGATTGCTGCCAAGATGTCTTTACTCACAAACTGTAAGTTGGTATACTGGAAACAAAGATACCTCCCAGCAAGCAGTTAATAGAACATTCTAACTGGCTGACTCACTGTGCTCCTTTCAATTATTTTTCTGTAAACAGGGGCGTAATAAAAACAGCTTATGAGACAGTTATTATATCATTACATTGTTATGTTTCTTAGCCACCTACTTTACGTGTTTTAATATGCACACCTAGAGATGGTATTTTAAATTTTCTCAGGCTGTGCAGCATAATGGCTGCTGTGTAATGCTTAAGGGGTATGCCCATGGATATATCAAATAACTCTGTACCAGTGTAATTGCTAAACAGACCTCTGCACTCTGAATGACATCATACTCATTTTGTTTCTTGATGCTGAGCTGAAGGGGTTAGCCATTCACAACCAATTACTTCCCTTGGGGGAGGGCTTTCTCTTTGAGAAATCTTAGCCCAGCTGTGACCTTAAACCCAGATTTAATTTATGTATTAGTTTCAACATTGGCCGGAGAGATTAAGTGTAAAGAGTAAGTTACTGAGTTCCTAAAGTATTTCACTAACAACTTTAGTGCCATACAAAATGTTGGTTTCTTCTTAAAGGGTACACTTTAAGAACATCTAGACTTTTTTTATTTAATTTATGTTTTATGCTATGGATGTCTGTGGCTACTAACTACAGTTGATAATAGTAGTTTAGGTAGTACATTCTTCTCACTTTGTCTCTCCTTAGAAAAAAAGCTTTGTTCATCAGCTGTAGTGTATTGCATAATTTCCGGCAATAGGTAAAGGCTACTGTCAGTGGCGGAACTACCGGCGGTGCGGCCGGTGCCGCCGCCCGGGGCCCAAGGCAGTGGGGGGGCCCACTGAGATCCACTCCCGGGATTGTGGCCACTGGGCAGAGGAGACTGAGCGGGGCCCTTTAAAGTCGGCCGCGGCGGTTGCGATCACTTTTTCCGGCACAGGAGCTTCTGAGCAAAGGGGCAGGTCCTATGACTCACCTCCTCTCCCGGCCGCGTCCTTAGTAACAGGCGGCGGGAGAGGAGAGTGTGTCTGTGTCGCATGCCCCGCCCCCTGCACACTGTGTGGCCGTGATGCTGGATCCTATACCGGGTGAGTCTGAATGGAGGACTGAACGGCCGCGAGGGGAGAGGGAGGCAGTGGGCGAATGTGCTGCAGGGTGTCTTGTTGCGGGGGTGTCCAGTATATGAGTGCAGCCCTGTCTGGTATATATTTTCAAAGGGGCCACACTTCGTTATTTACATTGCCTCAAGATTTTGCATACAGTACTTTTAAAAGGGTGCACTGTGCAGTGATAAGTGGGGCCCTGTATGGGGGGGGGGAGGGGTCTTGTGAAAGTGGGGTTGGGGGTCCCTATACATGTGTACACTGAGAAGTGAGGCTCTGCATTGGGGGAGGGGGTCCTGTATATGTGAGAAGTGGGGCTCTGTATTGGGGGAGTGGGTCCTGTATATGTGTACAGTGAGAAGTGGGGCACTATATGTGTGTTGGGGGTCCTGTATATGTGTCCAGTAAGAAGTGGGGCTCTGTATTGGGGAGGGGGTCCTGTATATGTGTACAGTGAGAAGTGGGGCACTATATGTGTGTTGGGGGTCCTGTATATGTGTCCAGTAAGAAGTGGGGCTCTGTATTGGGGAGGGGGTCCTGTATATGTGTACAGTGAGAAGTGGGGCTCTATATGTGTGTTGGGGGTCCTGTATATGTGTACAGTGAGAAGTGGGGCACTATGTGTGTTGGGGTACCTGTATACATGTCCAGTAAGAAGTGGGGCTCTGTATTGGGGAGGGGGTCCTGTATATGTGTACAGTGAGAAGTGGGGCACTATATGTGTGTTGGGGGTCCTGTATACATGTCCAGTAAGAAGTGGGGCTCTGTATTGGGGAGGGGGTCCTGTATATGTGTACAGTGAGAAGTGGGGCACTATATGTGTGTTGGGGGTCCTGTATACATGTCCAGTAAGAAGTGGGGCTCTGTATTGGGGAGGGGGTCCTGTATATGTGTACAGTGAGAAGTGTGGCTCTGTATATGTATGTCACGGAGGGCGTTGTGTATAGGGGGGGGGTCATGTATATGTGTACAGTGACATGTATACCTGTGAGGCTCAGTATATGCATTGAGAGCTGTGCAGCTGCCATTGACTCTGCACAGACCACCTGTCAGCTGCACAGCCACCAATAAATCCGCACAAACCACCTTTAACCCCACACAGCCCACCATAGAACCTGTAAGCCACCTGAGAGTCTGTACAGCCCACCATAGACCCTGCAAAGCTCGCCTGAGACCCCACACAGCCACCTAAGCCCTGTGTATAAGCAGCAATTGCCTTTAAAAAAAAACAAAAAAAAACAAATACTCTTTTTACCTTTATTAATTCTTTGGTGGTTAGCAGGGTTAGTGGTGGGGGGGGGGGGGGGCCGAGAAAAAATCTTGCACCGGGGCCCTTTGTTTCTTAGGTCCGCCACTGGCTACTGTAGTATATAAAGGAGTTTTTTTGCATCCTTTGCCCTAATTAGCAGGAATTTAGAGAATATTTTCCTTAATGTGGTTATTGGTGGTGGTGGTTGGTACTTCTCATTAACAATTTCCGCAAAATGCAATTGCACTACTTGGTACATGCCAGGAAAGCCAGATAATACTATCTATCCTGTATCCTATATCTTTATAGCATTATCTGTAGACAGAGATCGGTGTAGATCTGGATAAATTATTTAACCCACCAGATCCCCTAAAATGCCTTCCTCCTTGAATATTCAGCTGCAAACATTCATGCAGAGATTTTTGCACTGTTGTACTGATATTATCAGCATTGTGTACCAAACTTTTCAAATGTCCAGGCTTAGGCCCCTTGTTTTATTAAGTTGACCCTGCTAGAAATATAATTAGACACAAAACAGGATGTCCTAATGACTATTCTCCCCATTTTTCGGTCATCATTAGATGTGGATAAGATACAGAGATCGGTGTAGATCTGGATAAATTATTTAACCCACCAGATCCCCTAAAATGCCTTCCTCCTTGAATATTCAGCTGCAAACATTCATGCAGAGATTTTTGCACTGTTGTACTGATATTATCAGCATTGTGTACCAAACTTTTCAAATGTCCAGGCTTGTTGACCCTGCTAGAAATATAATTAGACACAAAACAGGATGTCCTAATGACTATTCTCCCCATTTTTCGGTCATCATTAGATGTGGATAAGATACTATGCCAGGTAACCATTAGACACCATCTACTGGAGAATTATGGGTGCCAGAAATGGCAATCTAGATCTAGAACATGATTTTCTCAATTGTCTTTTTTTGGGGGGGAAATGTAAATTACCAATTAATTATAAAAACCATTCTTAAAAACAATTTACAAAAGCAACTTAATGATCTCTGCAAAAAATACCTTCTAGAGTTGTTTCTTCTCCATTTAGTGGAGTGCTAAATCCTTCCTCATATTCTGCCTCAACACTGACAGCATATGTAGTCTCAGGAAGCAGGTTTGTAAGCACAGTAGTAGTTGTTGGAGCTGGAACACTGAAAATAAATTCTTCTCCACCAATGGCAACCTTGTATTGGACACGGTAAGATAAAACATCATCGGCTCCTGGAGACCAGCTTAATCGGAAACTGTTGGAAGTGACCTCAGAGAACTCCAAATTAGATGCTGGTGTCAGAGCTGCAAAGGGTCATATAAAAACACATTAAGCCTTCTACACATTGCTACATACAGAAATAAGTTCCTTGTTAAAATTATTTGTCATAAGCTATACATGTGAAGCTTCCTTAAAAGAAAATGCCTTATTTTTCTGTAGGAAATTATTGCTAACATGTCACAGAGATTCTACAATGGTGGACAACTCCTCTTTGTGATAACAATAACGACTAACATCTGGAAATAACTGATTACTCCTACAGGTCCAGATAATAAAAAACAATGTAATCACTTGCTTTGGTTGCCAAAATGGAGTCATGTGTACCCTCTATTGCTCTGGAATTTTACATTTGAATGTCAGGGGCAGGGGTATAAGGAGAAGGTGGGTAACAAAGTTGATGCTCTGGACCTAGGATCCAAGGGCTTACACAGAGATTACATAGAACACAAACAATGGCACCTGGAGATACCACAAAGTTATTGATATTTTAGACACTTTTTAGGCCAGGTCACATTCACTTGAAAAACAATTTGGGAATCCAAAAAAGTATGGTAAGCCCGTTATCATCCACCGTTCTTGGTTAAATATCTGCTTGTATATGGTCAGCTTAAGACTTACAGACCATATTTCCTACAGAAGACCTTTCAGCAGTTTTTTTAGCATGTATTACTTAGATAAATATTGCTACAGAGTTTGGATAGGTCTAAAATAATCTGTATTTTACAGCATAAATTCATGATCAGAAAAACATTGGCCAATCATCAGCAATAATTCATCCAAGGCATCTAATCAGACTTTCTTCTACAAAAATGTTGTGTTTGGTTTTTGCAACCAACTTTTTCTTGCATTTATAAAATATTTTTATATGGTTAAATGTACGATACGTTCACTTTTGTTACTTACATTTCCTCTTTATTTTTTCAGTTTCTTGTTCAATTCTCAGACAAATAGATTGAGTCAGTTCAAAAGAGATTCTTTGGAAGGCATCAAAGTCTTCTACAGTGTAAACGTGGGTGTCAGCTGGTGGCGATGCAATTGCTTCTAGCTCAGTTCTCACTGCATCCTTAACACCCACAGCGAAAATTTCTACATCAGAATTTCTAAGTTTTATTGCTGGGTCTTTAAAGGCATCAGATGACTTTCCATCAGTGATTAGTATCATGACTCTGGGGACATTGGGTCTTGCTCCCCTGTTCTGGACAAGCACCTTTTCTCTGACAAAAGTCATGGCTTTGCCAGTGTTTGTAGAGCCCCCTCTATATGGAAATGTATTTATTGCATGAAGAATATCTTCAATCTTGTCATACTTGTTCAGTGCAAACTCTGTATGTGGATCTCTGCTGTACTGTACAAGACTGATCTGCACTTTGCTGGGTGAGATGTCAAAGCTTTTCACTAACACTTCCAAGAAGGCTCTGACTTTAGCGAAGTTGGCAACACCAATACTGTAAGAGCCATCAACAAGGAGAACAACATCAGCTTTTATATCCACACCACCGGAACATTCTGTGAAAAATGATACCCATGTTTATTAAATTATTTGTGTAGTATTTTGAACAGAAACATAATTAAAATTTCTGTCCTCATAAAAGGAATCAAGAAACTCTTTAAAAAGGAAGGTAAATAGTATAGAGTCAAATGCTTACCCACTCTTATTTTTACTGCCTGGGTTTTTTCCAGTGTTGAGATTGGCTCACTCGCTGTAAGGTCTTTCATTGCAAATACATTAATCTCATACTCTGTATCTGGAGAAAGATCCTTTAGAATATGACTTGTAGTTTTAGGGCCAACATTCACAGCCTGAGATTTACTTCCTGCCAGCATTGGAGTAAGCTGAATTCTGTAGCCTGTGATTTGGCTTGGTGAAGCCTTCCAGGTGATCTTCATAGATTTGGAAGTAATTTCTTTTACAAACAAATCTGAAGGAGGATCCAGGGCTGGAATGGAAAAGTAAACAGCTTTGATTTGATTTGAAGAAACAAAATATGCACTGGTATTTCCGTGCTTGTAAATATATAGAAATCAATGTGCTATCTAGGCAGCTATCAAAATGACTAAGCGATTAAACCAATTTACATGTTTAAATTGGGTCTGTAGAGTCTTATTCACTATGAAGTAACGGTTCTAAATAGTCACACTATTTAATTATATCTGCAGTACTCACAGTAAGTGAAGCGTAGAATAATTTTAGAATTCTTAATAGCATAGATAACAAAAGAATATACGATTTAAACAAACATGTTTAACGTTTGTTTTGGATAGAGTAGGAAAGATTTATACTCCTTTCAGGTTCTTAATGCTGTCTGTGTTTTTTTGCTGTCTGTATCGGCTGGGTAGATTCACCCCTCTGTTTGCACTGGTGGATGTGAAATCCAAAACTTTAGTTGTCCCTAGAGTGAGAAAATGCTCCTATTGGGATACCTATTCTTGTGCCAATTCTCTAAGATGGGATTTCCATTCACATTGCAAAGATTTATTTTCATTTCCATTTGCATGTCCAGGGCAGAAAGTGAAGGGAAATGTCCATAGCAGGCAGCACAAATAACCTGATTCTGGTTTTAACACTTGCATACTCTAACTAAAATGTTTTGACTTTACATAGACTTTAAAGCCGAACTCCAAGCACAGTCAGCCTGGATCCCTGACTTTTCTTTACTGTAGTTAAGTAATACAACTAGGTCTTGTCCCTCCCCCAGCATGTGACAGAGAAGCAACTGACTGATAAGCTCAGCTCCCTGTAACTGTGATATCTCCATCAACATGTTTCTTGCTATGATATGACTACTGCATCACAACTGACTGGTGCCTAGTGCTGCTTTTCCCTCTCTCAATCTGCACTCTTCTGTACAGGGGACTAAAATAATTAAAAATGTTATATACATACAGTACACATATACGAACACACACAAAACACTCACCTTCATCTCCACTAGTGATATCACTGAGCTGCTCATCAACACCAGAACAAACTTGAGTAATAATTTCATTTTGTACATCAACAATAGCATCAAAGTTAGGAACACTGTACACATGTTTTAGAGATGGTAAGGAGGCCATTTGTTTTAGTTCTTTTGCATCTGCTGCCTTTATACCTGAGAAACAAAATAAAGAAAAAAGATAATCCTCTTCCCACCAAGGTCATTGTTGTTGCTGTAGACCACAGAATGAGTTAGCCAGGTAAGAAAGGCTCCCTCAGAGAGGCCTTGTCAATTATATGATGCCCCAATCTACATGATTCAGTCAGCTATGTTCATTCTAATACATTTTAGATGCTTCTACCCACAGTGGAAAAGGTATACAATAAGTAAGCTGCTCCTGTCTGTAGATCTTGGCTGTCATTTATACATTCATGTTTGGAAAATGTTGCCAAGTAAACTCAATTTGTTATAATACATGAGTCACTGGTCAACCAGCAAACATTGTGCTATGTTGTGGAAATGCACTACACATTTAATAAGTAAAATACATATTATTCAAATTATATATCCTGCATGTAGAACCACTTTGCTGTTTGGTATGTCAAAGTTTTGCAAAACAATAAAATCTAAATATTTTCTTACCCAATGTGAAAACTTCTACTCCCAAATTCTGAAGCTCCTTTGCTGGAATTTCTACTTCATCCTGAGATTTACCATCAGTTATGATTACTGCTATTTTTGGAAATCCTTTCCTGGCCCCAGCAGAATCGACAAATGCATTATTTCTCATGTAATCAATGGCTTCACCTAAAATGTGATTACACATAAGGTAAATATACATTACATTATAAAGAAAACTTCAGGTTTGTTTAAAACTAAACTCCATCCAAACAACTAAATGAACAGTCAAAATACATATGTATGAAACACATTTGTTCTATCTGCCAGGTGATGTGTATTTTTGATCTTCCAGTTCAGAGCTTTAGACACTACTAGACAGCAGAGACAAGTTGATGACCTGAGTTTTCTCTACTGCAGTTAAGCAACACTGCTAGGTCACCTCTATGATTTAGCAGACTGATGACATAATTCCTCTGCATTGCTGTGAATGGCCTGTACTGCTGCCCATCCCTCTCCCAGTCCGAATACTTCTGTTCAGGCAATAACAAGAGCATCACACCAAGACAAATTTAGGTACTAGTATTAGCTATATTTTAGGAATCAAAGTCAGGATTTGTTACTGAAAAGGTAACTGCATTAATAGGTTTATTTTCATGGAATTCAGATTCAACAGAACTTCTACACTTTGTAAGCCAATGCCCTTACAAATTAGCTTTCTATTTTAGTATACAGTCTGCTATGATTGTTATCATTGCTAAAAAAAAAAAAAATTCTCCTCCTTGCAAGCACACAAACAGAATCCCTGATTCTGCAATTGGTTCACTTCCAAAAGCCTACGCAGAACTTAAGGCCACACTGCCAACAGTTTGTTGCATGGCATATGTCATCATTGAAAAATGTCCTTAGATTTACTGCGGTGGGAGTTCCATTATTGCTTCTGAGGTTGCCACCAGTCACTCATTCTAAAATATTTCAGCAAATGCACTGCAAAGGTCTTTTACTGTGGGATTCGCAAATGAGCCATTGGTTTACTGATTAGACGGAACCAGTAATAAACATTATCTAAAGTAAACATTATCCAGTAAGAATGAATGTGGTTGCATAAAATGAGGGTAAAGTACTTTTATCTACTGAAAGAAATAATATTAAATATCTTTAACAGCCAACCAACCTGATTATACAGAACCAGTGATAAACATTATCCAAAAATAAAAGCATGAGAATGAATATGGTCGTGATTGCATAAAATGTGGGTAAAGTACTTTTATCTACTGAAAGAAATAATATTAAATATCTTTAACAGCCAACCAACCTGATTATACAGAACCAGTGATAAACACTATCCAAAAGTAAAAGCATGAGAATGAATGTGGTCGTGATTGAATAAAATGTGGGTAAAGTACTTTTATCTACTGAAATAAATAATATTGAATATCTTTAACAGCCAACCAACAAAGAACATACCGGTCATGGTGTTCCCCCCTTTGTAAGGTATTCTTTTAATAGCCTTCAGGAGCTCAGCTTGGCTGTAATATCTGTTCATCTTAAACTCTGTTCTGGTGTCTGAGCTGTACTGAACAATGCCAACTCTTGTCTTATCTTCTCCAATGTCAAATGCCGAAACCAAAGAAGACATGAAATCAAGAATATACTTGAAGTTCGTTCTCCCCACACTCCAAGAGCCATCCACGAGGAACACTACATCAGCAACCGCACTAATAGAGCATCCTTAATAGATACAAAGATACCAAGTTATTATAAGTTTAAAAAAATATATTTTTGTGTCCATGCACCAAACACATATACTGTAGGCTAAATGGTGGTACCTTATTAGCCCTCATGCCTTCTAGTTGTGGATCCTGGGTTCTCTATGTTTCTCTGTGCCACCCATGGCATTGAATGTATATGTTCTTTCTTTGTTT